CTGTTTCCAGGACAGTGATTCTGTTTATTTCCTACTTTTTTTTTTTATGCTTTCTGGGTCATTCAATATCTTGCCCATAGCATCTTTCAAGATTGCGACTCGATGCTTAAATTTGTTTTTCAGTTCTCTCAGCTTGAAAAGTGCAGAGGGAGTTTTCTTTTTATTCTCCAAATCCAGCTCTCTGCACATTCCATTATAATACTTTGCTTTGTCTGCTCAAGCTGCTCTTTGAAATCTTCTGTTAAGCTCTTTTTCTTCTATATATTTTCTTTTGTTTTGTCTTCAAATGCTCCAGTGCAATTTTTAGAGTCTCTTCTGACATCGTTTCACTTTTCTCTTTCTTCTCTGTTTTTGTAATGACATTTTGCTTTCTTCATGGATGATATCCTTGATTTCATCCCACAACAGACCCGGGTTTTTATTATTGGTGTTCACTGTGTCATACTTATTCCTAAGATGATCTTGAAAAAGCATCTCAGTAGTTAGAAATTATACTGTCTATATTCACAACATGATGACATAATAATTATTTTTATCATCCTCCTGTAACCCTGACAAGCATCTTGCTTTCTAATTAGTTTTTTCTATCTAACAGTTTGAAGGGAGAACAAGATGAGTTACACTACAAAGACATTGTCTTAGACTAGGCTTTTACAAGGCAATGAAAAGCAAATTGAGTGAACCGTGCATTATAGTTTATAAAGAGAGACTTACTTCAAAGAACTGGCTCACACAATTGTGGGGGGTCAACAAGTACACATTTGTGGGTTGAATGACAAGATGAGGACTTCTAATATCCCAGAAATACTAAGCTGACCCTGGATGAGACGGATTGACACAGTAACTTGGGTAATGAGGGTAGGTGTGTCAGATCATGAGACTGGCCTATGATAGAGCAGGGTTCAGAGCCATTGTGCAAAGGGTTGCTGACTCATGGTTGACTCGAAGGGCCATACCTATAACAACAACAAATGGAGTTCAGTTTTATATAGCTTCTCCAACCATTAATTGCATTTTCCATGACTTTTACCTTTCATTTATCTCTTTGCTTGCTTTCCTTTTAATTATGATTAGTGTGACTCTTTTTTTACTATCTGGAAGTGATCACCATTTCACACATTTTTAAGACCACTTTGACAGACTGAATATCTAGAATGCTTCTGACACCAGAAAAGCTAAGGCAAGCATCCATTTCCTGCGTTGTGATCTGAAGAAGTAAATGAGACACAGTTGGTATGTTCTTAATGTGTTCTAAATATGTGCATAGCAGCTATAGGGAGGATAGACTGTAGGGAACTGTCCTGCTAACCTAAAAGTAGTGCCTCTGGCTGTTCAAATTGGTCAGTGGCTACAGAAAAGAGCCATGGACAATTTCCTCTGATTCAGTGTACAGTCTCTAAAAACCCACCGGAGGGTCAGGAATGAGTCTGCTAAGAATCAAGGACAAACAGTTTAAGTCCCATGTAAGGTATAGTAAGCCTTGAGTAGAACAGATTTGCACATGTGAAGTCTAGGTCAGTTCTCAGTAAGGAGTGAATTCCTCTGTTTCAATCTAACCTGAGCAATGAGCAATCAACAGTTAAATAAATTCTGACTATTGCAGACACTCAGTTTTATGGAGAAAACGGAAACGTCAGGAAACACCAAGAAGAGCAGGTAAGAGAACAAGATGAATGAATATAGGAGAGAGAGAGAGAGGGAGAGAGAGAGAGAGAGAGAGAGAGAGAGATAGGCAGAGACACATCTTTGCTTAAACACCCGCTTATATACTACTGGATGCAGGCTGGCCCGAGAGAAATGCCTCTTCTTATTGACTACATTTCACCACTAAGACAGACTACACATTATCTGCAAAACCACTGAGAATCACACCCCAGCTAACCTACATTACAACCATCAATAAAACAAACAAATCTTTCATTTACTTGCTTTTGTTTATTTAGCTGTTCCAAGTGACTAAACCCTTGCTCCTGCCCATCCTCCTTGTACCAGAACAGAACTAACTATGCTCCAGAGAGACCAGGGGGCAGTCTTCAGAACAGAGCAATTAAACACTGCATGGTTCAAAATCAGGAAAAGTGTACATGAGGGATGTACCCTATCTCCATACCTTTTCAATTTACATGCAGAACATATCAGCTGGGAGGCTAGGCCCGATGTGGAAGAATGTGGCAGCAGGATTGAAGGAAGTCTCAGGAATAAACTGCATTATCCAGATGACACAACCTTGCTTCCCAAAACTTAGGAGGACCTGAAGCAATTGCTGCTGAAGGTCAAGGACTGCAGTCTTCAATATAAATTGAAGTTCAAAATAAAAAAACCAGAGATTCTGACTAGTGGGCCAATTGGCAGCATCATGGCAAATGGAGAAGAGACTGAGATTCGTAACAGCTTCAGAAAGCTTGGTTCCACAATCAACACTCCTGGCACCAGCAGCCAGGAAATCAAACGCTGAATTTACTGGGAAAGGCTGCTGTCAGGGATCAATCTGGGGTACTGAAGAACAATGATGTCAGTCTAGAGACTAAGCTGTCATGATCTTTCCAATTACCTTCCATGTATCAGAGAGCCTGACAATGACTAAGGATGATAAAAGAAGAATCGATGCCTTTGACTTTTGGTGCTGAGAAGAGTATTGAATAGACAATGGATTGCTAAGAGAACAAAAGTTCTGCCCTGGAGAGGGGGAAACCAGGCTGGTGCTTGGAAGCAAGGATTTTGAAGCTCTGTTTGACATGCTTTGGGCATGTGGAAAGGGAAGATGAGCTCTTGAAGAAGGACATCATGCTTGGAAGGGTGGAGGGACAGAGCAAGAGAGGAAAGACCCTAAATGAGAGGGACTGACTCAGTGACTAGGGTAAAGGGGGTAGGTGTTTCAGAGATGGTCAAATTGGCTCAAGGTAGAGGAGGGTTCAGAGCTCTTGTACATAGGGTCATAATGAGTCGGTGTTAAGGCGACGACACATAACAACCACCACCAGAGAGTTTTCAGGCTGATTTTCCAAAAGTAGCTCACAAGTAATTTCTTCAGAAGTACATCTGGGCAAGCTCAAATTTGTATCTGTTCTGTTCTCACTTACTTGATCTAGTAGTATCTGCTATCACCTAAATATTCATAACTGACAAGAAATTGAAAGTTAAATGAATTAAATACACAGACACTTTCTCATGCTCCACTTTATTTTATATCAGGATGATAGTCTCAGAATACCTAAAGGACGGTGTTAAGTGATTCCTGTTTTCCAGAAAATGTCCATGGTATTTTTCTTGTTGGGTGGGAACTATTGGGCACTAATCAGGTCCAGGGCCAACTTTATTCCACAATGCTTGTTACTTCCTCACTTTCCAGGTGTGTTTTATTTGTGAAAAGATACCAACAATAAATGAACACAGAAAAAGTATCAAACGAAAGAAAATGGTAACTAGCTTCATGTCTGCACTCTTCCGAAGACTAGCTCGAAAATTACCTTCTTTTTCGGGTGGAGGCCCGCTATCTATACTACCACCTGCTCCCTTCTCTGCGCAAAATGGAGGTTTCCAACCACGAAGACAGTGACAATTTTTGTGGTTGTTGCAGACACCTCTATAATGGCATTTTGACACATTACAGGTAAAACCCAGGTCTTGAAAATAGGTACAATTTTGGCCAAAACAGTATTTTCCTGGGCCACACACGGCACCATTCAGGACAAGTGCCATGGATATCTTCTCTAACCCTATGTGAAAATCATATCCAAAGCATAATTGTTCTGTAGCTTCTTCAATTCTTATCTGTCGAAATGTAGAGTGATGACCTCCACCAGGGATTTGTTTTATCCCACGACAGTGCAGCATGCCACACAAAACGTCGTCGTCTTCACATTTCAAAGGTTTTTCACTTCCTACCAGTCGTACGTGCCCACAGTTTCCAAAACGGTCACCTCTAATGTTGAGTTGCTCATAGCAACCTGGTGAAGCATCGCTTACATGATGGCCAAAAAGAGCTTGGCATTGCCTATTACGGTCACTACAATTTCCTTGCACACAAACAGCCAACGGTGAACATGGAGTTCCATCCTGCATGTAAGTGTCATCGGGGCACAAATGGTTCTTGCCATTACAGTATTCTGGTAGATCACAAATGCCACGTATGTCTCGACACAGACTTCCAGGAGGCAGATACCTACAATTATGGCAGCAATCTCCTGCATTACATAGACTCCCAAGGGCCAGCATACAATTGGTTAAACAACAGGTATCTTCAGAGCATTCTTTAAAGGACCCACAGTCACACTCCTCCCTTGGATCTACATTCTTATCTCCACATCGAGCTGCTTTATAAGGAAAGTTATAATATGGGACATAAGGAATACGCAAACATGGATCCCATCTGGTGACTAAATGAAAATAGTCAGCATAAGAGCAGTTACTGAACATGTCTCGAAATCCAGGCCCAGGGGCCATAACACATTTGCTTCTACGAAAGCAGCGACAATATTCTTCATCATGTTTCATATATAAACCATGACCTATTAGATGCACTGCAATTGATGCTATCCAAAAAAGATGATACCTTGACAGATGCACATACTGTACTCCCCAGTTTGAATTGCACACACTATGTGGGAAAGACACATAGTCTCGACTTCCTATCCTGTGCCCTGTAAGAAGCAGTGAAGTATCATGTTGAATTTTATTATAAACATGTCCAATTTTAAAATTACCATAAGACGTAAATACATCTGATTTCTTACTGTTCAAACTAAAATGATCCATTTTATTCCAAATGCAGAGCAGTCGTATAAAGACATTTAAATTAATATATCCATAAATGGAATCCATGATGTTGTTTATAATAACGACAATTTCTATGAAATAGGTTATATTGTCCTTTTTCAGATATAAAGAGTTACTTATTGTGTAGTGAATTTTTAATTGTCTTTTATGTACTGTCCACAGATATACAGGACTTGCTCTAGGAGATTCAGCAAGGTTTTCTTCTTCAAGTGGTTGATTTCCACTTTCCCCTTCAATTGTGCAACTTTCAGCCCCCACTGTATTTTTTTCTGACAGAAGCAGAGAAACCACATGCTCAAATTTGGAAGATGTCTCCAGAGGTTTGATCTCATAAGTCAAGTCATCCACCTGCAGCATGCCACGAAGGCCCCCAGAGCAGGTGTCCAGGGTGGCCATGGACCCAGGAACCCCTTCGAGATAGCTGAGGTAGTAACAGTCTCCGGGGACATATGGATAATCCTCCTGCATGGCGCCTTGGTCATTGTCTGTAATAACAGGAAAATGTCTGGGCAGTAAGTTCTTTTTTACCTTCATGTGCACTATGTGTCTTCGGCCCTGGAAGAACATGCTATATGACAGCTGACCTGTCCTCCCAGTTCCACTCCCCCTGTGTTGTACCTTCCTGGGAATCACAACTTCAGAAGAACTGAAACGCCATCCTGGTGGGCCATGGGAGCAACTGACAAAGGACAGGAGTGTCCAGAGAACCTGCAACAAGAGAGAACTTCCCAGAAGGGCTTGGGCCCAGGCAGATCCCATGAGGGAGGAAGCTTGTAACCAGAGAAAACTCAGTCACTTTGGAGGTAAGGAGGATTATAGTCGAAACAGCAACTCTCCCAGCAGGCCAGTGATGACAAAAGCAGGATAAGACTAGAGACATGGCCTGGCTAAGTGTGGTAGGGTCAGAGTTATGACTATTACATAACAATGAATATGTGCTCACTAAGGGGATATTGGGCTTATTTGACCTGGGGTCTCTTGGGCATAGTCTCAGAGGAAACTGCTATCCCATAGTTCCAGATTTTTGTTCCCCTGAGGCCTGCCAAGAGAGCAATCTATTTATCATTTAGTCTTTCAGATTTGATGAAAAGAGTGAAATTTATTAAGGTCTTGCTAAGTAGCAAGAGCCAGGCAGAATTTGAAAACCTCCTAGGTGCTGGAGAAGAGTCTTGAACATGCCACGGACTGCCAAGAAAACAAATAGGTGTGTCTTAGAAAGGGCAAAAAAAGTTTCTCTTTGGAGGTTAGTATTTTGAAGCTCCATCTCACATACTTTGCACACATGGCCAAGAGATACTAGTCATAGAGAAGGTCATGCTCAGAAGTGTGGAAGGATCGCACAGGAGAGGAAGACCCCAGATTAGATGTATTTATATACTAACTGGGGCAATGGGGTGGGGGTTGGTGTGTCAGAATTAGTGAGACTGGCTCAGGACAGGGCAGAGTTCAGAGCTGGTGTACATAGGGTCACTATGAGTCGTAGGCGACTTGACGGCACACAACAACCACAAAAGTCTGCTCTATTAATTATACAGAATTATTAAAAGAGAAACCTAAGTAAACCCATATCCACCGAGGGAAACACAACATTCAAGACTTAACAGTAGCAAGGCTCATGAAAAGAAGGATAACCTTCTTCTCCCTTCGTCTCTTACTTCAGCTCTCAAGACAAACCAGGACAGCTTTTCCCAGTTTTGCTGGAGCCAACAGGGTTGCAGACAGATGTTCATTATAGCAAAGTACCTTCCATCAAATGCATGCAATTCAGACTACCACTAGCAATAACTGATGGACATTATCTGTAACTCAAGGGAAAACAGGCCAGAAGAAAAAGAAACATGAAAGAAAAGAAAAAATTCCAGCAATGAACTGCCAGAAGGGGAAGAGAATCTTTTAACTGGAGACACAGTGCTAACCTTTGGTTCAGATGGAAAATTGAAAGGAACTGAGAAATCTGAGAATGCTGAATTAGGAAACAAGGTTCTTTCTTCTCTAGTGGGTGTGCAAGAGAAGAAAAAAAATGTGCTTTCTGCAAGTTGATGGCAGATAATCCCTTTTAGTAAAGAATACAATGAATAATACCTGATTTTTATTTTGTAGAAGGAAGTCTGAAGGTGCTCATTCTTTTTAAGGAACAAATCTTAAGAAAGTGAAGTCAACATTTCTTCTAGTCACTTGAGTTATTTGCATAGACTTAGACAACTCTCTCTGGTGAAGATCTTCCTGTGACATCATTTACTATAGGAGAGAATAGTCTAAAAGTATTATATTTTAGGGTATTATTTTTATCGTAGGAGTACGCAATGAGGGTTGCAGAGTGGATTATATTTGGGGGTAGGGGGTGGGGTTTGGGGAGTTGCGGGGGGATTGTGTACCAATGAGGGAGTTTTTCTTTTGCTTTTCAAGGAGAGGAGCAAACGGGGAGAGGGGGAGGGGGGAAGGGTGCAACAATGAATGAATGGAATTCCAAAATCTCTGTAGATGTTCATTGAAATGAAAAATAAACAAACTAAATTATTAAAAAAAAAGGGAAAAAAAAGAAATTCCTACACTTAACTAGGATCTAAGGGTGGAACGGTAAAAGCAGAGGAGTGAGGATGGGCAAGGGGGTAATCATGGTATTGTTGTTGTTCTGTCATCGAGTCACCTGTGACTCACAGTAACCTTATTTACAATGACTCTGAACCATGCTCTATCCTTTAGCCAGCCTTACCATCTGTGACAAACCTACCCCCACTCCCCCAGTCACTGAGTCAATCCATCTCATCGAACGTCTTCTTCTCCTGCACTGTTCCTCCACCCTCTCAAGCATGATATCCCTCTCCAAGAACTGGTCTCTTCTCGCAACATGTCCAAAGTTTGTCAGATGAAGCTTCAGAATCTTTGCCTCCATAGGATCACACAATTTGACTGGTAGAGAGACTGGTGGGTAAAGGGAATGGGAAATTTCTGGTGTGAAACACAGTGTAAAAAGCTTTGTTAAGTAAACCAGTAAAAAATAAAAATTTTATTTCAAAGATAAGAATTTCCTACACTTACCAAGGCTATGGACAGATTGATGTACAGGTTTGCCATGGAACTATGCTATAAAATTAATTTTCCCTCTCAATGGCATAAATTCAGGAAATACAATCTTGAACTGCAGTGGACATTTCGATTTCTTGAGGCTGGTCAAACTTGTGCATTATTTATGTCATCTTACAAGGAATGTTGTTGTTGTTGTTTGTTATGTGCTGTCGAGTCACTTGCGGGGGAAATACCCATAAGTCTGCCTTTGTAGCATCCCACTCGAGTGTTGGTGGGTAATAATCCAGTCCTATTACAAGTACATGATTAAACTTCCTGAAATGTTTGGCACAGACTAGAATTCACTCTTAGGGTGTTTTCTTGTAACCTCATCAGTAGAGAGTTGCACCACCAACGCAAAGGCAGGGAATCCAATTTCATCAGTGGCTCTGAGGAAGAAAGATGAGTTATTTCCTCCCATGAGATTTACCACTTCTGAAAACCCAGCAGAGGGTCAGCTATGGCTTGGTTCTGACTCAATAGCAATGAAATGAAATGAATTTAAAGAATATTCAGGGTCAGGCCATAGCAATGGCATCTCAATCTGTTTGAATGAACAGTTTATAATCTGAAACATCAAATGTTTTTCAGAAGCACTGAACAGACATTCCTACTCATATTACCGAAATTCCTCTTCTAACTAAAGATAGATAGATGATAGATAGATAGATAGATAGATAGATAGATAGATAGATAGATAGAGAAAGAAAGAAACCATACACACTCAAACCCCAACCCATAGCTGACCCTCCAGAAACTTTTTGAAGCAGTAAATCACAAATGAGATTATCCATCATTTTACAGCAGAGAAGCTGATAGATTTCAACCACATACCTTTGCACTTGCAACTCAATGCCTTACCACTAAGTCACCAGACACACACACACTCTGAATAGCATCCCAGAACTCTTACTGAGTTTGTATGAAACTTATACCCATACCTAGACAAAGAAGTTGTCATTCAAATAAGGGGGGGGGACCCAAAGTACATTGCATTGTGTAAGATCAAGTAAGGCATGTGTGAGAGCTGTATCTTCTATCTTCTTTCCATAGCTTTCAATCTGTATGCTAAACAAATCATTTGAGAAGCTAAAAGCGATTTATGAAAATGATGAAGTGTCAGGATCTGAGAAAGACTCATAACTTTCATTATGCAAAGGCCACTAAGAAGGACTTGGAACACTTGTTGCAAAGATCAAAGATTACAGCCTGCAAAATGGATTACATCTCAACATGAGGAAAATAAAAATCTTTACCAATGGGCAAACAGACAACCTCATGAGAGATGGAGAAGAGATTGAAAATGTCAATGACTTCATCTTGCACGGATCCACAATCAATACACTTGGTACCAACAATGGTCAGGAGATCAGGAATTGTATAGCATTGGGAAAGTTTCCCATCAGAGACCTCTCCAAATGACTGAGAAACAGTGATGTCTGTTTAAAGATTCATAAATGCCTTATTCAAGCTAGTCTTTCAAACACCTACTATGTATGTGAGATCTGGACAATGAATAAAAATGACAGAAGAAAAATGGATGCCTTTGAGTTCTGGTCTTTAAGAAAAGTACTGAATATCCAAACAGGCTGCCAAAAAACCAGACCTATGTACTGGAGAAATTGCAACCAGAGCATTCCTTGGAGGCAAAGATGGCAAAGCTTTGTCTCATATACTTAGGGCATATTGCTAGGAGAGGCTATTCCTTGATAGATTTTTATCCTTGGAAAAGGGATATTATGTCTACCAAAATAAGTAAAAGAGAGGAAGAACCCCAACAAGATGAAGTGATACAGTGATTGCAACAATGGGCTCACATATGTCAGAAATAATGAGGATGGCACAGGATAGGATAGAGTTCAGATCTGTTGTTCATAGGGTCACTATGAGCTGTACTTGACAGCACCTAACAACAACAGAGGACAAACTAGACAAAGGCAACCTTATATAAGCTAAATCCTCATGTGCATCAAAAGACATTTACAAAAGAAAAGAAGCAACCTGGGTAAAAGTATTGAGGAACCACATACTTGATAAGTGACCAGTCTTTACAGGTAATAGAAAACTCTAGTATGTGAAGAAGTAAAAGAAAAAGACCCCTATCACAAAATGGACAGAGGACATGAAATGACGCTTTGCCACAGAAGATATTCTGATGGCCAACAGAGAGCTGAAGATGAAAATAACAATTAGCTATCACATTAACCAGGCATCAATACTAGCATACACTAAGACAGAAACAACTAATGCTGGCAAGCATGAGGAGAAAGTGAAGTTCTCACACACTGTTAATGGGGATGTAAAATAGCGTAGCCACTGTGCAAGTCAGTTTGGAGCTACTTTAGAAGTTGCAATTACAATGTTATGTGATTCAACAATATCACTACTGGAATATTGTTGTT